ATATATATATATATATATATATATATATATATATATATATATATATATATATTCTCTCTCAGTCCCCCTNTTCCCCTATGCTTGTGCGAGGAAGGGTGTTCGTCCTTCCACTGGGCTTTACTTCAGATCTTTAAATAGTTTTAGCGAGCTAGAAATCTATGAAGGTGTCTAGTGCAAATCACCAGGTACGATTCATCTCTCTCTCTCTCTCACGACTGTGTTCCTTCTTTGTTTTAGCTCCTGATCTTTCAGATATTAACTGAGCGGAGAGTGTGTCTATCTGATTTGGATGTTCTCGAGAAGGGGTCTCCATGACTTTTAACTCCATCGATTGTTCCTCCTGTCATACTTGTATCGTAGTGGATACCGTAACGCTGGAGTTCGTGGCTTGATCTCTCACAGGTAGCCATGGCGAGCTTTCCGCTGGAAGAAGTACTCGGTGGACTTACAAAGGCAGAGCAGCAGGAGGGGAAGGTCAGACCACAACCAGAGCAATCCATAAAGTGCCCCAGGTGCGAGTCCACCAACACCAAGTTCTGCTACTACAACAACTACAGCCTCGCCCAGCCCAGGTACTTCTGCAAGGGCTGCCGGAGGTACTGGACCAAAGGAGGCACTCTAAGAAACGTCCCAATTGGCGGCGGCTGCAGAAAGAACAAGAAGTCTTCTTCCTCTAAGAGGCCACAAGACCAATCCTTCCACGCTAACCCCATCACATCATTGGCTTCCAGTTCTGCGCTACCACCATTCCTAGCTTATGATCCAAATGATCTGATCCTGGCATTTGCAAAGCTCCAGGAAGCTCACCGCAACCCTGGGCATTTACTGGATGACCATGAGACTGCCCTTCACGGAGATTCTATCCCCGAACCTGGTCGTGTTCCTGATGGTCTCGGGGAACCCGCAGAGTTCCTTGACTTTCTGAATACTCGTACCACTGATCCGACTGGCTTCCACAACCTCCACTGTGGGTATAGTGGCATCGGCGATGTCTATCAGGGTCTGGGATTGCCTTTTGATGCAGGCCTGGGTGGAGAAACAACATCATCAACAGCAGCAGCAGCTACAACTGTGACTGCTAATCAAGTCTGCTGCAAGGTATTGAACGGATCGGAGGATGATACGATGTCGATGGGTATGCAGTGGCAGGTTGCCGAGGATCTCAACATGGCTTCGGACTCCGGACGAGATCATCAATGGAACGAGGTTGGCTCAGCTTGGCATGGTCTCATCAACAGCTCCCTCTTGTAGACATCCGAAAACATGCTTAGATCAAATGTTAGGTCCTCTCCTGTACGTGAAATTACAGCATCTAATGGCTCCTCTTTTTGTTTCTCCTGAGTGTTGATAGGATAAATATAGTGGGAATCGGAGGATGGATAACTTCATCTTTGCATGTTGGAAGGTAAAGGCGGTGGAGTTGTAGTATCGGATCCGATAATACTGCACAAAATCTAAGATTTCAGTGTCTCCGAGTCCGGCAACAAATCTTAGTGACGTGACATGAGAGGTATAGTTTGTCTGTGTGCTGTGGGGTGATTTCCCGTGCATGGCCGGATGGCAGTATGTGGGCCGTCCGTCTCATACCCATCTCGCTGCCATTTTGTTCCGAGCACACTTTACGTCTATTAATAATGATTCAGCCTTCATGAAGTATGGATAATAGATATTTTAAGCAACATAGGACAGTCGACAATTGAGTAATTTTGATCCTAAATTAAGGAAAAATATATAATATATAATATTTTACATATCATGTAATTGACATCTTAACATCATATACATTATGATTGATATATAGACATGGTGTTACGGATTCGATGTATGTTATGAGTTCCATATTCGATGTATCATGAGTGTGTTTCATGCGATAAGACTCGGACAAGTAAAGTGACTGAGATCGATAAAAGACTAATAAAAATAAGAGAAACTTAGCCAACTCGGAATCGAATGATTCAAAATTAACTTAACGGACACTTTCATCAATTATTATTTTAAAGATAAATTAATGGCGGGTTTCACGGGACGAATGTTCCCGCTCCAACTCATCGGGCAATGATAACTGCACCCGCATCGTGCGACGCCCTCCACTTGTCAAGTAGCGTATACGTGACGATAAGCGAGGTGTTACTTAACATGAAGCTGTGTGCTATATATGTGCGTAACGAACCCCTCTTCCGTTTCTCGCGTTTGAATCATGGAGGGGCTCCCTGCGATTGATTCTCGATGGAGGACGATCTCCCCTTCTCCTTTTCTTCCGGTGGTTCAATCTGTTCGAAATCCATAGGTACTTTTTGTTTCCGATCTATCTGTGAATCCTACTGCGATTTCTGGTATTCGATCTGTTCCGTTTCATCTTGCTGATTGAATGGGCGATTTCTTGGATCGATGGTTTTGAGTTATTTTGATTGAATTGTTTAAGTAGTCTTCGCTTCAATCGTTCTGTCTCTGCGTTTGGATCATGGAGATGCTCTCTCCGACTGATACGTTGTCACATTCTCCTTTCCTTGTGGCGAGTTCATCGACTGCAGATCTTTAGGTACTGTTCGTTTCCGATCTATCTGCGAATCCTACTGCGATTTCATGGATTGGTAGTTTTGGGTTATGTTGATTGATTTGTTTTAAGTATTCTTGCGTCAGATCGCTTCAATCATTCTCTCTCTCTCTCTCTCTCTCTCTCTCTCGTTGCAACTGAACCATGGAGAGGCTCTCTGGGATTGGGATCGGTACATCGCCCGATGACGATTTCCCCTTCTCCTGTTGTGGCGGTTTCATCGATTCAGTATCTTTGGGGTTTTGTTTTTTAATTTTTATCTATCTATGGTACCTACTGTGACTCCTGGATAGTTTTTTTCGTTCTATGTTATCTAGTTGATTGAATGGGTGGTTTCTTGGATTTCGGGTTTTGTGCTATTTCGATCGGCTTGGTTTAAGTATTCTACTGTGACTTGTTTTTGATTGGACTGTTTTTTAATTTCTTGCGTCCTCTCTGGGATTTGCTTTCTTTCTGCGGGTTTCACCGATTCGGGATCTTCAGCTTTGTTCCATCCATGGTATCCCTTTTTTTTTCCTTTATCTATTCATGAATGTTGCTGTTCTTGAGGCCATTTGAATGTTCTTTTCCTTTTTGTAGTTTTTACGTCGTTGAATTATTGGGTGATTTTTTTTTGTATCTGATGTATTCTTTTCGATGGCTTGTTCTTCTTATTATTGCAGCAGACGGTATGAAATATAATGTTTATCCAAGATTTGGATATCGATAGTCACTTTTATCTCTACGATTTTAGTTATGAACAGTCCTAAATAAATCTTCTAATCTCACTTATTGATTATTATGACGTTCACAGGTAACTTCAATGCATACCATTGAACTCACGCTGTTCTATTCTGTTGTTTATTTGTTACTACTGCATTCTGAACTAAATATATATATTTTATTTTCCTCAGTTTAATGATGACATCATGCACTGAAATATAACGCCAGTTTATTTGTTACTACTGCGTTCTGAACTAAAGTGGTTGGTCGTTTCCTATACTGACTACATCTTTCTGTCAAGAACTTTCTGATCTCCTTGTCTTCCCCATTTGAAGTATCACGGAAAAACAATCTTCGAGGAACCTTTTATGTATGTATTCACTAAAGTAGTTTCTGAATCATCTTAAGTTGATCTAATCAGAATATTATGATTCCTAGTGTAACCCACTTTTCGGTGGAAAAGTTTTCTTTTGTCGAGGCATGAACACAGGCTCTGATTCAACATGGTTTGATGCCAATGTATGATGTTAAAAAATGATTTGCTCCTGGTGTGTCTTGAACTGAATGTTGCATGCTCATGGTTGGTTTTTGGTAAAGAGGCACTTTTCGTATCAGCTTTGAGACTTGGGCATTCTAAGAGTAGAATGTTGTTATGCGAAAAGGCAAAAAAAAAACTATATAATGCGATTGTTTTTCTACCAAACAATTTGGAGTACCAAGTTGTTGGCATGGAGACGATCTAGCTGCACCAATCTAATATCGAAAGGTTCTAAATATATTCCATCTTTCATATTTTGGCTTGGTAAAAAATTAGAAAGATATCCATAACTTTTACCTTCATCTTTTCAACATTCACATAATGATCCAAAGATTCTTTCCTATATTTGTTCCTCAGTTCAATGTCCATGTCTAGCACTTGTCCTCGTCTTCAGAATTCGAATACATTTGAAGGAAATATCCAAATAAGAAGCAACACTGTATGTGTGTGTGTGTATATTGATTCAGAGGGTTCATTGAGTGTGTGTATATATATATATATATATATATATATATATATATATATATATATATATATATATATATATATATATATATATATATATAT